AAAATTAAACGTTTTCCCCTAGGCATGGGACGATGTTTGCTTTTCGGGGCCTTCTTGGAAGGCCTCTTGAAGCCCTCTTGGGGCTTCATGGGGGCCTCGTGGACCGTCTCAGGGCCATCTTGGGCGTCTTGGGGCGATCTGTCGGCGAGGTGGAACCTTCTTGGGACCCTTTTGGGGGCTGTCTTGGGGCTCCTTGGGGTCGTTGTGGGGCCCTTGGGATTTCTTGAAAGCTTCGCGTCGGGGAGGTCTGAGAGGGACCGCCGACAGAGTGGAGGTCCAGAGGAGGGACTTCAGGGAGATTTTTACCAGACCCTGGCGAATCCTGCCAGGCACGCTGACAGAGTGGTCTCGCACGGCCCACACTGCAGGGCGGGAGCGGCCGGATCGAGAACGCTGGCGGCGCATCACCGGCCGCTCCCTGGGAGTTTGACGCAGCGTCTCGGGAGCCTCTTGGAGGCAGTTTCGAAGCCTCTTCGGCTCCTCTTCGGCGCCGTTAGGGGACCTCTGGGGGCTTCTTTTGGGCCTCTTTGGGGCTTATTGGGGGCTTCTTGGGGCCCATCGATTGTTTCTTGGGAGCCTGCTGGCGGGGTCGGAGGTCGCGTTGTGGCGGCAAGCTCGAAGTGTTCTTTCGATTTCCGCCTCTTGGGGCTCTCTTGCGGCACTCTCCAGCCGTATTGGGCTTCTCTTGGGTCGTCTTGGGGTCCCCGTGGGCTGTATTTGGGCTCCGTGGGAGTTTGACGTAGCCTCTCGGCAGCCTCGTGCCTCTCGGAAGCCTCCTGGAAGCAGGTTCGAAGCCTCTTGGGGGCCGGTTGGGGGCCTCTTGAGGGTCTCTTGGGGGTCTCCTGGGGCCTCTTGGGGGGCTTCCTGGGGGCTCCTTGAGGCCTCCTGGGGGCCTCTTGGGGCCTCCTGGCGGTCCTTGGAGCGGAAGGCTCGAGCTTTCCGTTCGTGGCCCCCCTCCGGGCCCCCTCTTGGGTTCTTCTTGGGGCCCTCTTGGGCCGTCTTGGGCGCCTTTTGGGCCGTCTTGGGGCTCTCTTGGGCTGTCTTGGGGTCCTCTTGGAGGCTTCTTGGGCTGTCTTGGGGCGATCTTGGAGGCCTCTTGGGCTGCCTTGGGGCGATCTTGGAGGCCTCTTGGGCCGTCTTGGAGCGTCGGAAAGCCTAACAAGTTGTGAAACATGTGCGTTTTACAAAGGGAGTGGGGCCATCTGTGCGTCTGGGGACCTTCTTGGGACGCATCTTGGAGGCCTCTCGGGGCATCTCAGGGGCGTCTTGGGACATCTGGAGGCCATCTGGAGCGGCTCGGAACGATCTGGAGCCGTCTGGATGCTCTCTAGGGCCGTCGTGGGGCTCTCTTGGGCCGTCTTGGGGCGCTCGTGGGTCGCCCCCGGGCGTTTGCAGGGTCGTCTTGGGGTTCTGAAGTCGTTCAACGTGGGGGGGTCTGTGAGGGACCGCCGACAGAGGTTGGGCCCCTGGGAGGGACTTCAGGGAGGTTTTTACCAGGCCCTGGCGAATCCTGCCAGGCACGCTGACAGAGTGGTCTCGCACGGCCCACACCGCAGGGCGGGAGCGGCCGGATCGAGAACGCTGGCGGCGCATCACCGACCGCTCCATGGGAGTTTGACGCAGCGTCTCGGGAGCCTCTTGGAGGCAGTTTCGAAGCCTCTTCGGCTCCTCTTCGGCGCCGTTAGGGGACCTCTTGGGGCTTCTTTTGGGCCTCTTTGGGGCTTATTGGGGGCTTCTTGGGGCCCATCGATTGTTTCTTGGGAGCCTGCTGGCGGGGTCGGAGGTCGCGTTGTGGCGGCAAGCTCGAAGTGTTCTTTCGATTTCCGCCTCTTGGGGCTCTCTTGCGGCACTCTCCGGCCGTATTGGGCTTCTCTTGGGTCGTCTTGGGGTCCCCGTGGGCTGTATTTGGGCTCCGTGGGAGTTTGACGTAGCCTCTCGGGAGCCTCGTGCCTCTCGGAAGCCTCCTGGAAGCAGGTTCGAAGCCTCTTGGGGGCCGGTTGGGGGCCTCTTGAGGGTCTCTAGGGGGTCTCCTGGGGCCTCCTGGGGGGCTTCCTGGGGGCTCCTTGAGGCCTCCTGGGGGCCTCTTGGGGCCTCCTGGCGGTCCTTGGAGCGGAAGGCTCGAGCTTTCCGTTCGTGGCCCCCCTCCAGACCCCCTCTTGGGCTCTTCTTGGGGCCCTCTTGGGCCGTCTGGGGCGCCTTTTGGGCCGTCTTGGGGCTCTCTTGGGCTGTCTTGGGGTCCTCTTGGAGGCTTCTTGGGCTGTCTTGGGGCGATCTTGGAGGCCTCTTGGGCCGTCTTGGAGCGTCGGAAAGCCTAAAAAGCGAAGTTGTGACACATGTACGTTTTACGAATGGAGTGGGGTTATTTTTGCGTCTGGGGAACTTCTTGGGACGCATCTTGGAGGCCTCTTGGGGCATCTCAGGGGCGTCTTGGGACGTCTGGAGGCCATCTGGAGCGGCTTGGAACGATCTGGAGCCGTCTGGATGCTCTCTAGGGCCGTCGTGGGGCTCTCTTGGGCCGTCTTGGGGCGCTCGTGGGTCGCCCCCGGGCGTTTGTGGGGTCGTCTTGGGGTTCTGAAGTCGTTCAACGTGGGGGGGTCTGTGAGGGACCGCCGACAGAGGTTGGGCCCCTGGGAGGGACTTCTGGAGGTTTTGACCAGGCCCAGGCGAATCCTGCCAGGCACGCTGACAGAGTGGTCTCGCACGGCCCACACCGCAGGGCGGGAGCGGCCGGATCGAGAACGCTGGCGGCGCATCACCGGCCGCTCCCTGGGAGTTTGACGCAGCGTCTCGGGAGCCTCTTGGAGGCAGTTTCGAAGCCTCTTCGGCTCGTCTTCGGCGCCGTTAGGGGACCTCTTGGGGCTTCTTTTGGGCCTCTTTGGGGCTTATTGGGGGCTTCTTGGGGCCCATCGATTGTTTCTTGGGGGCCTGCTGGCGGGGTCGGAGGTCGCGTTGTGGCGGCAAGCTCGAAGTGTTCTTTCGATTTCCGCCTCTTGGGGCTCTCTTGCGGCACTCTCCGGCAGTATTGGGCTTCTCTTGGGTCGTCTTGGGGTCCCCGTGGGCTGTATTTGGGCTCCGTGGGAGTTTGACGTAGCCTCTCGGGAGCCTCGTGCCTCTCGGAAGCCTCCTGGAAGCAGGTTCGAAGCCTCTTGGGGGCCGGTTGGGGGCCTCTTGAGGGTCTCTAGGGGGTCTCCTGGGGCCTCCTGGGGGGCTTCCTGGGGGCTCCTTGAGGCCTCCTGGGGGCCTCTTGGGGCCTCCTGGCGGTCCTTGGAGCGGAAGGCTCGAGCTTTCCGTTCGTGGCCCCCCTCCAGACCCCCTCTTGGGCTCTTCTTGGGGCCCTCTTGGGCCGTCTGGGGCGCCTTTTGGGCCGTCTTGGGGCTCTCTTGGGCTGTCTTGGGGTCCTCTTGGAGGCTTCTTGGGCTGTCTTGGGGCGATCTTGGAGGCCTCTTGGGCCGTCTTGGAGCGTCGGAAAGCCTAAAAGGCGAAGTTGTGACACATCTACGTTTTACGAATGGAGTGGGGTAATTTTTGCGTCTGGGGAACTTCTTGGGACGCATCTTGGGGGCCTCTTGGGGCATCTCAGGGGCGTCTTGGGACGTCTGGAGGCCATCTGGAGCGGCTTGGAACGATCTGGAGCCGTCTGGATGCTCTCTAGGGCCGTCGTGGGGCTCTCTTGGGCCGTCTTGGGGCGCTCGTGGGTCGCCCCCGGGCGTTTGTAGGGTCGTCTTGGGGTTCTGAAGTCGTTCAACGTGGGGGGGTCTGTGAGGGACCGCCGACAGAGGTTGGGCCCCTGGGAGGGACTTCAGGGAGATGTTTACCAGACCCTGGCGAATCCTGCCAGGCACGCTGACAGAGTGGTCTCGCACGGCCCACACCGCAGGGCGGGAGCGGCCGGACCTTTGAGGGCTTCGCCCTCTGCCGCCAGCCCCACTATCACTAGTGTGTGCGGCTGCGTGGATAGCGCCGTGGGTGCTTCTCGTGGCACGTTTCTCGGCAGCGTCTGCAGGTCATTGTTGGAGCTTCTTGGAAGCCGGTTTGGAGGTCCTTGGGGCATATTTTGAGTCTCTTGGGGGTCGCCTCTTGGGGGCCTCTGGGGGCCTCCTGGGGCCTCTTGGGACCTTCTTGGGGCCTCCTGGGGCCCTCTCGGGGCGGAACGGTTGAGTTTTCGGTTCGTGGACTCCCTCTTCGGCCTCTCTTGGGACCGTCTTAGGGCCCTTTTGGGCCGTCTGGGGCGCCTCTTGGACCGTCTTGGGGCCCTCTTCGGCCGTCTTTGGGCCCCCTTGGGCCGTCATGGGGGCTTCTAGGGCCGTCGTGGTGCGATCTTGGGAACCTTTGGTCCGTCTCAAAGCCTCGGAAAGCCGAAAAGGCGAGAAGGCCAAACAACTTTCAAAACCGTGAGGAGGATCGTTGATTTTTGCTTCGTGGGGCCCTCTGGGGAGGCTTCTTGGAGGCCTCTTGGTTGGGCCGTCTTGGGAGCATCCTGAGCCATCTTGGGGCCATCGTGGGACATCCTGGGGCCCTCTTGGGCCGTCTTGGCCTCCGCCTCCTCAGGCTCTCTTCGGAGCCTCTTCGGGCAATCTTGGAGGCCCCTCGGGCCGTTCTGGCCGCGCGGTGGCGTCGCCATGACAATCCTGGGGTGGCCTGGAGCAGCCTGGACATCTCAGGAGGGGAAAGAACACACAGACACAAGTAATCGGCGACTCCCAGGTAAATATGGGACACTATGGGAAGTGGGGGGGGAGACGAAATCCCAGAAAATAAAAGGAAAACGCAGGGAATCCTGGGGTGTGTATTTATTTGTGTGCCCCTGGGCCCCGTGAGTATCGTCGCGTCGCGCGTGGCGATCGGCGGGGCCCGCACCACCTGCAAGACAGGGGCGAGGCGGCCCAGCGTGCCCACAGGCCCACCAAGTGATGCTCTACTGAGCTTGAATCGAGCATGTCCTTCTACAGGAGGAAAGTTCAAACATAGTCAAACATCGTCTGGGAACGTTTTTTTTGACTATGTTTGATTTTTTTGTGGGTTAACTTGTTGACTTTTTTTTTAAATTCTTCTACCCATCGGTCGTTGTAAGCAGGTGTTCTTCGAGTCCCAGATTCCAATCTACGCCTTCCTACCTCAATGATCGAGTGGGTCCTCTTTGGAGGGCGGGCGGACACACACAATCTACTCTCAACGCCTTCCTACTTCATGTCTCTACCTACTTCTTCCGACCGATGGGTAAGCTTTCGTGGTTTGCACGGCCTGTTCTCAGAGCATTTCTGGTCGAGGCCGCTTCGTTTGAAGACACTGGCTTTTCATGTTCTGAGCACGTCTTCGTGTGGTTCTTCGAGCATTCGCTCTTGTTCCGAGGAGTCTTCCGTGGAGCTTTGTGGCACTCCCGAGACGGCCGGTCCCTGCTCCACCCACAGGCCACTCTCGCCCGAGGTCGCTCCTGCGTGCAGCCGCCAGCCGCGCCAGCCATCCAGCGACGCGGTGGGCGAGGGCCAGCGGTGCGGGCTGTGCCTCGCGCACCTCCACGCCGACGACCTCGTGGGCCCGTCCTGCGGGCACCTGTTCTGCGTGCGCTGCCTGCAGTGCCACGTGCTCGGGGCTGACTTCTGCCGCCAGGGCGCCAGGCGAGCGACGCCGCAAATCGGGCCTCGGGAGCCAACACATGACATGAGCATCAGTTCTTTGAGGCCCGCGCGGATCTCTGGCATCGGCGCTGAACCCCCCTTCCTGGCGCGGGGAGCGCGCCAGGGGCGGCGCCGGAGATGCCGCCAGGGGTGCGCCTGCGCCGATCCGAGAAATCCTCGCGGACCTCCGAAAGGCTCTCTCTCTATGTATATGCCATCGTTCGGCGGCGAGCGAGGGGGGGAAGTGAGAAGGAGAAGGCCCCCTCAGAAGGCGGCCAGACTTCTCAGAGGCCCTCGCGCCTTCTGAGAAGTTTTCCGTGTCTTCGCGGAAGGCTTGGACAACTTCTCAGAAGGCTGGGGTACTTCCGAGCCTCCTGAGAAGGCTTTCTCCTTCTCACTTCCCCCCCTGGGCTCGCCGCCGAATTGTTTGTTCCCCGAGGGTTCCATGGCGCGGACATCGGCGCGCAAGTTTCCCGCGGAAGGTCGCGCTTCTCCACGCGGCGTGCCGCGCTGGGCGGCCCGCGTGAGCTGCGGTGTAAGGTCGCTACGTCATTGGGAAGGCCTTGCGGCTGGTGCCGCCGACCCTGAGAGGTAGGCAGACGCGGAGGAAAACGCGGAGGATGATGATGATGATGATGATGAGGAGGAGGAGGAGGAGGAGGAGGAGGAGGAGGAGGAGGAGGAGGAGGAGGAGGAGGAGGAGGAGGAGGAGGAGGAGGGGGGGAGCGGGGGAAGGCAGATAGAGCAGGAGGGGGTAGGCAACGGTTGGGGGGAGACCCGTCTTGGCGTGAGGTCGCTGGGTCATTCGGCATAAGACCACCTGGGTGACGTAGAACCACGGCGTCGTCTTCACCGACGTCGGCGCGTAAGCTGCCCGCGTACGGTCGCGCGCGAGCGCCCTCGTTTCCAATGAGGCGTGCCGCGCTGGCGGACCAAGTCAGCCGCCGCGCAAGGTCGCTGCGCCATCTTGCGTTCGGCCCGTTTCTCACCGCCGCTCGCCTTCTCCTCGCGGGCTCGGAGGTGCCCGCGGTGCCCGGCGGACTTCACCGTGGAGCAGGTGAAGTTCCTGGTCGGGGAGCGTGCCTACGGCGCCCGGCAGGCCGGTTCGGCTCGGCGGGGCCGCCCCCGCACGGGCGGCGTGGTGCCTTTCGCCGTCGCACGGGCCTGTGTCCTCCGCGCTCCCTCCTCGCTCCCTCCTCGCCCTCGAGGCCTCCCGGGTGGAGTCGGAGTAGATTCGGGGGCCCCCAAACGGTGCGGTGACCACATCGTGCGGTGAGTCGGTGGGGATTCGGGGTCACCGCACGGTTTTGGGACTCGAGTCCCTCTCCGAGGACGTCTCGGGCGACAGGGGCCTCTAGGGTCCCAAGACCGTGCAGTGACGGACCGTGCGGTGAGGTCTCTTGGGGTTTCGAGGTCACCGCACGGTCTGTCGTCGCACCGTTTCGGGACTCCAAATAGATGGGGTCGGAGGATCGCGTCGCATCGCCGACGCATCGGCGATGCGGCTTGGTGTAGAGCCTGGCTTCCTCGGCGCCGACGGCGCCGATGCATCGCCGATCCATCGTTGATGCATCCGCGATGCATCGGCGATGCGGCGAGATCCTCCGACACCATCTACTCCGACCCTATTAGGGGGAGGCTTCTACGTTCTCCCCCTCCATTCTCTCCTCCCTCCCCTCGGGGAACAGACAATGACACAAACATAGCTTTCGGATTTCTCGGATCGGCGCTGGGCCCCCCTGGCCTCCCTTCCGGCGCCGCTTTTAGTGCGCTCCGCGCGCCAGGGAGGGGGATCTCAGTGCCGATCCCAGAAGTCCGCGCGAACCTGCAAAAAATCATGTTTATGCTGTTCACGTCGGTCGTTGAAGGTACGTATTTTTGGATT